AATGACAACAAACCAGATGATTTTATTAACTCGGCTTTTATTGTCTGCTACGGTTGTCGTACCATCGTTTAGGAAACAAAACATTGAACTAATTAACAAATATCTAACACAAGTGGGAAAAGGCTGATATGTGTATGAATGTATGTTGTAGTCGGTCGCTTGTTTCTTCTTCTGTTAAGGGTTGCGCGTATGTGCGTCTAGCTTCATATTTAATGTTGAACGAGTATGTGTGGTGCTTTTTTTGTTTGTTTTCTTTTTAATCTCTGGTTTCTAACTATTCATCGCCACCGCCCTCCTCATCCTCATCGAATTCACCCTCCTCGTCGGCGGTGGCCTCTTGGTACTGCTGGTACTCAGATACCAAATCGTTCATGTTGCTCTCGGCCTCTGTAAACTCCATTTCATCCATACCCTCGCCGGTGTACCAGTGCAAGAAGGCCTTGCGGCGGAACATGGCCGTGAACTGCTCGGAGACGCGCTTGAACAGCTCCTGAATGGCCGTCGAATTGCCAATGAATGTGGCCGACATCTTCAGGCCCCTGGGTGGAATATCGCACACGGCTGTCTTGCAGTTGTTCGGTATCCACTCGACGAAGAAGCTGCTGTTCTTGTTCTGGATGTTGAGCATCTGCTCGTCCACCTCCTTCATGGACATGCGGCCGCGGAAGATGGCCGCGACGGTCAGGTAGCGTCCATGGCGTGGATCGCAAGCGGCCATCATGTTCTTGGCGTCGAACATCTGCTGGGTCAGCTCGGGCACGGTCAGGGCGCGGTACTGCTGCGATCCACGCGAGGTGAGAGGCGCGAATCCGGGCATGAAGAAGTGCAGACGTGGGAAGGGCACCATGTTGACGGCTAGCTTGCGCAGATCAGCGTTGAGCTGACCGGGGAAGCGCAAGCAAGTGGTGACTCCCGACATTGTGGCCGACACCAAGTGGTTCAGATCACCGTATGTGGGAGTGGTCAGCTTAAGAGTGCGGAAACAGATGTCGTACAATGCCTCATTATCGATGCAGTATGTCTCATCCGTGTTCTCCACCAGCTGATGGACGCTCAGTGTGGCATTGTAGGGCTCCACCACGGTGTCCGACACCTTGGGTGACGGTACAACGGAGAAGGTATTCATGATACGATCCGGATACTCCTCACGTATCTTCGAAATGAGGAGGGTGCCCATGCCCGAGCCGGTGCCCCCGCCCAAGGAGTGAGTTAGCTGGAAGCCCTGTTAACGGAATTAGTTACCCCATTCCGGGACATTCACCTGACCCGCCCCTCTGCACTCACCTGTAGACAATCGCAGCCCTCAGACTCCTTGCGAACCACGTCAAGCACCGAATCAACTAGCTCAGCACCCTCGGTGTAGTGACCCTTGGCCCAGTTGTTGCCTGCGCCAGACTGGCCGAAAACAAAGTTATCGGGACGGAAGATCTGGCCGAAGGCGCCCGAGCGCACAGAGTCCATGGTGCCCGGCTCCAGGTCGACAAGTATGGCCCGAGGCACATACTTGGCGCCAGTAGCCTCATTGTAGTAGACATTGATGCGCTCCAGTTGCAAGTCACTGTCCCCGTAATAAGTTCCCGTTGCATCAATGCAATGCTCGTCCGAGATGACCTCCCAGAACTTGCCTCCGATCTGGTTGCCGCATTGGCCAGCCTGGATGTGCACAATCTCGCGCATGATTACGTTTACGAGTGCGAGAAACTATGAAATTCAAATTTTGTTGGAAAACGTATCTGAATTTTCTGGATAGCAATTCCGATTTTATTTTTTTCGGAAAGCAGAAACCGGTTTTCTTTTCTGATTTTAACGTATAATTTTCTTACTTTTTCTCTATACGTGTACCGTAGTCGAGTCGATGTTGGAATGAGACTACTACAAATTCTAAATGCTAATGTTCCCTATGGAACTACTGCGATCGTACAAAATTCGAATTTGAGACTGGTTTGCTTTGGTTCGAGTTTTTCCGTAACATATGTGTATTTGAGCAAGTTGACTTAATATTATATACTTTAGTAATAAGATTATCTAGTTGTAGGATTTACTTCTATGGTGGTTGAGTTCTCTACGGGCGTTTCTAAAAGACTTTTACAATTTGGCATCCCTTGAGGTGGCTAGACTACGTGATATTGCCACAAAGATTTGACATTTATGTTCACTTCTATTGTCTATTAGACGGAAGCACGCTTCAGGCAGAGCGTGCTTTCAATAATGTCCATTGGCTGGAAGTCCGGGTCGACAAATGGCTCGTGGTTCAGGCAGCGAGTTCCACCCATACACGTGCAAGAGCACAGCGACACCGTCTCGTCGTTCTCCGTCGTGTAGTTGTTCTCCAAGAGTTTGCCTTGCATATTGTACGTCGACTCGTCGTCGTAGGTCAGCGGCTGATTGCCAGCAGCCAGATTCTGAGCATCCTGCTCATCCCGCTTGGCGTCCTCGGCTTGCCTGCGCGAGAAGGATAATCATATTAAAAATACATCCCGAATTTCGGAAAATGCTTTGAGCGTCAAACTGACATGGTCATGAATCGCAATACGAGCAGATTAATACTAGCAGCGACCACAGCTAACCCAAACAGGATGAACACCAAGCTGAGGGCAACATATCCAGGCTTGTTCGTCAGGGCCTGGTCATTTTGTAGAGCCACGTAGTCTCCAAATCCGATTGTCGTCAGCGTGACGAAGCAATAGTAGAAGCTGTCAAAGTAGCTCCAACCTTCATAGCGGGAGAACACTGCGGCGCCTGTTGTTATTATGATGGAGGAGAGCATCCCAGTGGCCAACATGAGATTCATTTCGGTCGCATCCGTGCACCGCGCTCCACTGGCTCGCTTCGCCCTCCTAATTATTACCGATGCAAACTTATTCAGACGCTCACCAATCGACTGGAACATGACCAGCCCGAGCGGAATGCCAACCTGAAAGGGATCCACACATACATTAGCAATAATATCTGATGTGGTTCGACAACATTCGGTGGCTAAGTATTCCGGTTAGATCATACCATCGCATAGAACATTGTAAATAATTTGCCAGCCACAGTGGTCGGCGTCGAGTGTCCATATCCTGAAAAATCGAAAATATTACAAAGCTAACATTTGCTTATTTCTAGGCATACAGACCGTATGTAAATATATTAAAACACTTTTTATGCATTATTATATATCAAGTGAAATATATGTATATAAATACATATTTAAATATATAGTATCTGCATTCAGATAGAATATTATGGAAGCGCATCAGTGTTGCCTGTTGCCTAACACCGAAATAATATGGATTTCCTTTAAGTAGTGCTTTTAAGGCTTT